CCACCCCAGGTCAGGTGAACCTGGAAACAACAGCAAACTCTCCTCAAAACCTCCTGATCAAAGGCGTTGCTCCTGGATGTAATTTATCATCATTCCCAGGACACTTTCTCATCTTGTTCTTACTTAATACTGCTCATATTATTATCTACTGTCTTCTGATTCCTCTTTTATTGTTTTCATTCCTTAATAATTTTTTTCTTTTTCTTATATTTTCTCACACTCCATAATCCCTTGTTTCTTAGTGGCTTTATTGCCTTGCTTGGGGTGAAATTATTAAAAAAGAAGTTGCCATTTTCAGATAAATAAACCACTAAAACAATACAGAAAATAGGTGGAGGTTAGATTGATTCTTCAAAGGACAGAAGATGTCATGAAAAATCTGATTAGAGTTCCCACTTGTTCTTTCAATGTGCCATATACATTCAGGACATGAACAATCATGGTTCTCAACAACTTCCTGTTTTTTGTTGCTCTTGGAAATACTAGTACACTTTATGACTCCTCTTTGTGGTACAATTAAAATAAAAGTAAACAGAGCATGAAATTTCCAAACAAATCAATTTTGTGGGGAGAAAGGTTTGAAAGATGGTGATATCAGATTATGAACTTATATAAAGTTATCAAGACAGCACTAGATATCTTCACCTGAAGAAAGACAAATGGTAGACTGAAACCATGTCAAATAAATAAAAGAAAGTCAACTGAATCTTTACAACTCATTTGAATATCAAGGGAAAAAAAATCAGTGCCTGAGACAATAAACATTTATCCAGAAAAAGACAAACAAAATCTGTATTTGTACTTTCCATCAAATATGCCTTCAATTTTGCAAAGTATATAAAGATATGTGTGTGTGTGTGCAAATATATAGAAAAATAAGAAAGATCCGTTAGGTTAATAATCCAAAATTCTGTAGTATTTTTGTTTTTATTTTTTAAAAAACAGTGCTCAATACACAAGTAGAGCCTAAGTTATAATTATTTTTTAAAAATATGATTCCATTGCTACATAAAAGTTCTCATGTTTCAAACATGTTTCAAACATGAGAACTCTTATGTAGTGATGGAATCATATTTTTAAAAATATATATATATATATATATATATATATATATATATATATATATATATGAGGAGAGGTGCTTAAAAGTTCTCTGTCTAACCAAGATAGTATACTAAAATAAATTCTGGCAAAGTTTAATATACACACAAAAAAGGACACATTATTACTGTATGCTCTCTCAGCAAATTTAATTTTTAATAATATTAGTCTTTAATAAATCTTTAAATCACTAAAATTTACCAAGGAAGTATACAGTGATAGCATTGTCAAGAGAAAAAAATATTCTTTTGACACATTGTTTTTTTGTAAGTACATTTGTTAAATTTTACTCAAATTCTTATGATTAATCATTAGGTCAGATTTTGGAAAGTGGGCTGAGACAAGTATTTTCATATATCTCCATATAAGAGAAAAAACAGATGTAGTAAAAATCCACAGTTTGTACTAATAAAACATTTTTATCACCACAAATGGGAACATCATATTTGGCTACATTCATTATACATTTGTTGCTGCCATATTCTCCACAATCATTGGATGACATATCTAAGCACCGATTTATCTTGACATGAAAAAATAACTCACCCACCTCCACCCTCTGACTTAATTTTTCTATTTAGCGTATATCTGACTTTTAATTGGTTAAATGAGACATACCCACAAGTATATTTTTAATTATGACCTCATGCCCCCCCTTTTAACTTCTGAAAAGAGGTAATGATTTGTTTTTAAATTTCCCTAATAAATCATTTTTATCACCAGTTACCAATCATCGTCTGAGGAAGTATGATCATAGTATTGAAACAGCAAAGCTTTTGTGTAACTATGTAAAATGTTTTTAGTATAATCTTGTATAATAAAAATATTATAATGATTGATATATATATATATATATATATATATATATATAATAAAAATATAAGGTTTTAAGGTATGCTATATTTATAGGTAAAAGTGCTCCATATCTGGGATAGAGAGTATATAAATATGAAAGTGTACACATTTATATTTACTTATATTTATATACTTTGTATATGAGGTGGTATTAGAAAGCTTTTGCGCTGTATGGACTATAACAATGTAATACAATTCAATAGAAACATGCAAGCAGCTAATACTTATTGGGAAATAAACTACTGAGTCAGTCTACCAATTGGCTACATGCAATTGTCTTCAATTATTATATGAAGTATTTTAATGAGTTGGAATGATTCTGTAGTATTTATGACCTTTGCATCAAATTTCGTGTGGAGCTTTGCAAATCTGGCATAGAAAACTTTGAAATGCTTCATGAGATTTTTGATTAACATGCCCCTATCAAGGCTGGTCAAATATCAGTACAAAAGTAATGAGCATTCAGGATAAACAATCACCAGTAAAACATAGGAAGATTATGTTTAGATATTAAACATTCTGTAGAATGGACAATTATGCTGTTACACCCAGTCTGTGTGTGTGTGTGTGTGTGTGTGTGTGTGTGTGTGTATATATATATATATATAATTTATTTGAAAATTATAACATAAATATGTTATATAATCACTACAAAAATAGCCATTTTGTTTCAATGCTTCTGGTGTGATGGTGTTGAATGTAGAATAAAAAGTTCCAGTGATGGTGTTGAATGCAGAATAAAGAGTTTCAAAATCTTTATTCTGTGTATGGTGAGGTGACAAATGGCAAAAGAAGTGTACCGAGAGAAGGGGGGAAAAAAAAGATTAAAGGTGGCAAAATTGGTGTTGAAAACAAACTGTGTAGTTGAAGGCAACAATGGACCACAGAGTGTTCAAAATTTTTCCAAATTGGATTTGACAAAGTGAATTGAAATATCATGCAAGTGCATTGCCCCAGTGGGAGATCATTTTGAAAAGCACGAAAGAGCTACTCCATACCACATCATCAATCCCATGATTGGGTGTGGTCATAGAAACCCTGAACGACTGATCAATTCACTCCAAATATCTGGGTTGAATAATTACAGTAGTAGACTATTTAATCATTTAAACCTCAAACTTGACAATGGCATTTGAACCTTGAATAATATTTAAATACTAATTCTCTTTGATCCTCTTTGGTTGCAATTATTAATACCAAAAATATATCTTCTTGGTATTTTTTTTAATCATTAATTTTAATTTATTGCTATTTTATTATGTTGCTTTTTTATAATAATATTTGATCTGTTGTAACCTAGGGAAGGTTACTGAATAGAATAATCAAACAAAGGTTGGTAATGAACGATAATATTTAGGACATAAACAACACATATAAGATTCCCCAGAAGCACATTGAAGAAGTGGTCAACTGCCAAAAGTGAGTCAAGTGAATTCCACAATATATCTCCAACTGCAGACCAATATACAGTATTTACTACTGTATTTATGTGAATGGGAACATACCCATTATTGTCTGTATGTATGCTATAACACTGTCTAACTCTTAGATGTTTTAGCATATCTCAGCTCCTAACCACAGCTTAGAGAGAGAACTTTCTCCAGTCTCCCCCCAAGGTGTCTTCTGAGGAATAAAGGTTCTTGGAAATAGCCGTGAGTGCACCAATCACAAAAGGTACAAATTCAGCTGCTGCTTGGTATATTTCTCTGATTTTTCCTGCCAGGTATCAGTATCTTCATTTTCACCTGCTCTAACTTCAAATCTCTATCAAAATCCAAGTTCCAATGATTAACTTTCATTTTTGGCATTTTGCGAGCTGTCAAATTTATTTTGTACCATATCAGTATTACTTCATCTCTTCTTTTTTGTTGTTGTTATTTGATTTGATATCCTCTTGAACTCATCGGTCTTTCAGCCAGGTGAGGGTGATCATAACTCAGCTCCTACCTGCAGCTTAAGGAGAAAATGCTTTCCTTAGCTATTCCAGGTAGTGGTGCTATCTGTACACTCCTGATGGTGTCAGGTGTCCCCAAGGTGTCTTGCAAGGCAGAAATATTCCTGGGAATAGTCCTGTGTGCACCAACAACGAAAAGAACTTCAGCTGCTGCTTGTTACATTTCTCCGATTTGTCCTGCCAGGTCCTTTGGCATCTTTGCATTTTCACCTGTTCCACCTTCACAATGTCCTTATCCCAAGGTACTGCAACATCTATCAGGATCCATTCACAGCTGCTCTTGTTGACAAGTGTGACATCTGAATGATTGCTCTCCAAACACTTGTTAGTCAAGATGATTGTATCCCACATGCTCATTCTCAGTTGTCATTGTTATTCCTTCTTCTTCACATATTAAGCTTACCTTATGGCCACATAGCACTGAAACATTGAGCCTGGTCAGTACCTAGATGGGTGACCACTTGGGAATGCCAAATATTGTAAGCTTGGATGTGCAGGTGGTGTAATAGATAATGACTCAAATTCTAGTTTCACTTGGGTTTGTTATATTCACATACACAAATACTTTTGGGAAAGGTATGAATTCACCACTTGTCCCCCACCTATGGGTTAATTAGTAAAACTTGTATCACTAAATCACAATTATCATAAAAAAAATATCTAAAAATATTTTCTGGCTTTAAATAACCTGCAAAGGGTTGATAAGCTGTAAAAATAAATAATCAATCAATCATATCAAGCTAGCAACTGTCCAGGTTCACAAAAAATTTAAACAGGCAGCCCAAGATATGAGCTAAGTACTGAGGATGTCAAAATCAAGCAAGTATAAAAATTTAACTATCTGGGTTGTTGACAGAAAATGTGACATACAAATACAAAGCCACAGTAATAACAAAAGATGTCTTCCAGAAACTAAGCAAAGTATTAAGACATAGGAAAATGTCTTGAAAGAAATAAAAGAGCTGAACTGTTATGCAATATCCAATCTCCTATACGACAGAAAATGCTGGGCAATTTCCTTGCAGATAGAACCGTGCTCTCTGATTAACAATTCTGAGCCATTATCTATTACACCACCTGCACATCCAAGCTTACAGCATCTGGTATTCCCAAGCGGTTACCCATCTAGGTACTGACTAGGCTTGACATTGCTTAACTTTGCTGATTGTATGGTAACTGGTGTTTCAATGCTATATGGCCATAAGCCAAGCTTAATATGTGACACAGATGTGGTTCTATGGAAAGTTTCTGAGAATACCATGGCAGACACATATGAGAAACAAAGAAGTTTTAAGGTATTAGAATGAAACTGATACTTACAATCAGAAAAAGTCAGATGAAATTTCTGGGATACATTTTAGGGAAAGAAGGCCTTGAGAATTTAATACTCACAGGATATATGGAAGGCAAGAGAAGCAACAAGTAACGTACTTAAAAAGTTTGCACAAATGGATGACAGAACAGGGATAAAAAGGATGGTAAAGGGTAAAAAATTGCTTAGAGCAACAAAAGGCAGGAAGCTGTGGAGAGCCATGATTGTCTATGTCCTGAAAAGACTTTGAATATAAAAGAGTTGATTATACCTCCTGTGTGACAGATATTTATCATTATGTTCCAGAGAATTTTACTATTATAAAGTCTTTGTAATGAGATATTTCTTAATTGATGATGATTACTCATGAATGTGGAAAAGAACTTGTTTGATGGAATGTAATGGAAAGGCAGCAACATGCTGAGAGAGAGAGAGAATAACATGAGATGACATCGTAGATTACCAGAATCTGTCATTAGACCAAAGTGCAAGGGAAAAAGGCCATCAAAATATGTAGAAAACAAATCTATTCTTTCTCTTTTGCCCATATATATTTTTCAATAAATGGAAAGTAAAGGTTCAAAACTAATTCCATCCCAGAGGGAATTGATTCCTGGCCTTTCCTGAAATAGGCAAGGATAATTGTTATAACAGCACTAATGACTTTGTGTCTATATACAATGCAATATATTTGAGAATGTTGCAAGAATAAAGATAAAAGCTTCTAAATAAATCCCTGCTGCTAAAAGAGATTCATTATCATTATGTTTTAAAGTTCTGCTTCCCAAACTTTTTTTAAATTAATACATTTTTGAATGGTGGATTACATCATAAGTGTCAAACCCATGAGATAAACATACGAAAAAATGTAATGCAAATTGAAATATGTTTTTTTTGAAGTGTGTTATTTTGTACGAATGATTCAGTGTAATATAAATTAAACTGCACGACATTTGATTTAAAAGAACTGATCTGACATGCAAATTTTTGGGAAAATAACCGAGACATTGCTCTACTTATTGAACGTTTTAGTTCATGTCACATTAACTGATAAACTCCTACAAAAAAAAAAAAAATCTTAAATTGCCATATTAGTAAAAAATGCTCTCACTTAAATTTTCAAAATTCAACTTTAGCATTATGACAGCATGTTCCACAAGTTTGTATCTGTTATTGATAGCACATTTAAAAAATTTAGTTAATGAAGTGAATTCACTATTTTATTTTAATTTACTTTCTGTATGAATGATACCTTGTAATATATATATATATATATATATATATATATATATATATATATATATATATATATATATATATATATATATATGAAGAAAAATTCTGGTATTCTAAAAATTTTGTGTTGTTTGTTTTTCATTAGAAAAGAAGTGTTTATGTGTTCATGCATGTATATATATTCATATATGTGTTCATATGTGTGTATATATATATATATATATATATATATATATATATATATATATTATATTATATATTTACTAATTCAAAAATATGGTTCCATTGCTACACAAGAATTACCATGTTTCAAAAACATAGTAAATTTATAATGTTTAGGCTCTACTGTATTGAGCACTGTTTTTTAAAAATAAAAAATAATTAATAAGAACACCAGATCATAAATCTTACTGTTCTTTCTCATTATTATTTATATATATATATATATATATATATATATAGCCAAAGGATCAGTCATTCTTGCACTGAGGTCATGGATTTGAAATTTATCCCAGTTCAAAAAGACACTACCCAGTATCAAGCACTGACAAAGGTTGCAGGAGAAGCTTAGAGTTTTGCAAGCAAAACATGCAAGAGAAGACACTATTAGCATAGAACTTACAATTAGATTTAACAATTTCATCAGTAAGATGAAGAAACCTTGCTGTTAGTCTAGTGCTACAGTTTAATTCATGAAGTTGAGATACTGAGAAGTGGAGAGGAGAGCTCACCAGAACAATTAAAATTAAAATATTTGTAGAAAAGGCACAGGGAAGTTATGTTACAGTGATTGAAGCTGAGATGCCAGGTCAAAACTGATAAGGCTGTGGTAACAATATTCAGTGCATCGACAAAAGGTGCGATATAGATTCCGTAGTGAAAAATTGTCTGGCACAACACAACTTTCCTAGCAAAAGATTTAGCAATTGATTTGATAATTTAATCTGGAGTCTTTGTGGGGAAAGGTAGATTATTCTCATCCCATTGTCAATGTTAGGAGACATCTTAGCTCAGCTGACCTTTGGTCTAACAAATAAAACTCAGAGAACTTATTTTTTAAGTTTCTTAAATGAAAAAGAGGGACAAAGAAAATTTAAACTGCACTGATTCCAAAATTAAATTGAACTGCACAATTGAAAGAACAGATTGCACTAGGAAGACAGGATGAGACTAAATATCACAAGGAATTTTCAGGACTTTTGCTAATCCATCTGAACATCTTTATGACCGAGAGCTTGCAAATCTATTAGATTTCCTGAATTAATAAGTGTCACGATTGTATTATTTGTATTTGTGCAGTTGATGAGAACACTTCACAAGTGTGTCTCTTTGGAGTTACTTGAGTGACCAGAGAAATGAAGATTCCTTTGAAGGAGGATGAGAAGAAAAGAACTGACAATTTGGACCAGAGTTTGGACAATGCCACTGAACAAAGTTCTATTGTAGCCATGCAACAACGCACTCAAGTAAATACAATGAGTGAGAACTACTTTCAGATTTCTTTGGCACATATTTTTACAAATACAAAATCTAGAAATACTAATTCTTTATGTGCATTTATCTACACAGAACCAAATTTATTTACATGTAAAATAGGATTAAGAATAAATAGGAAAAAATAGGAAATAGTTATAAATTTAACATGTTTCACTTTTATTTAAGCTTCATCAAAAAATAAAATATAAAGAAAAAAGAAAATTCTGGAATTTTTAAAATTTTGTTTTTCATTAGCTAAGAAGCGTTCATGTATATAATGCATGTTTGTGTATTAGAATTCTAGTTGGTCTATGCAGGATTCAATTGATAATGTATATGCCTACACTTGAGTATCTCATAGGCATCTTTATTTACGTCTGGTAGTTGTTTGTATGTTAATTGGGGGATGTTTAGTGTGAGAGTGAAATAATTTAGGTATTTTAAAATTTGGTAATATAAGAAAGTGGTGTTTGTCATGTGTTTATTGATGGTAAAATATTTATCAAGATTCCTTCTAAGTATTTTCTCTGTAATAAATTATGTTCTTTTCTAATTATGATGGCATTTATTAAATTGAAGTTATAGCCTGTTTTGTTCCTGTGTGTGACCATCAAGTTCAAAGCGTTCTCCCAATGTAGGTCTCCCTTATGTTCTTAGGTGAGGGCTTTTAGATTTCTAGATTCTTTGCCTATGTAGTTTTTCTGACATTACAGGCATTTTATATCATAAATCCAAGCATCTGATATATTGTTGGATCTATTTTTCTTTCTGACTATATCTCTGGTTATATTGGAAGTGGTGGTAAAGATCTTAATGTTGGGATAAGTGTTTTCCAATTTTATTGATAGATTGTTGGAGGGCAGGATTTTGAATTTTGTGTTTTTGTCATTGGTGGTGTCTACTTTTTTGGACTTGTAGATTTTTTATGCTTATCTTTTAGCATTGAGGATGAAATGATGTAAATAGTAAAAAAAGTCTAAACATTTTTCCAAAGTATTTCTCTCTTTCATCTAGGTATTCTGGTCTATATAGTCTAATGGATTCTCAGGTAATAACCTGTGATTAGTCCTGATTTTGTTTTTGTTTGTGTTAAAATGTTTGAGATACACAATGAAGAAAGAGCGCTTGGAGAATTTGACACTAACTGAACATATTGCAAGTAAGAGAAATACAATGAAATAGCAAATAACCCACCTAATTAGTTTGTGTAAATGGATGAAAGAAAATAAATTGGGAAAAAAAGTAAAAAAAGTAAAATATTGCTAAGAACTACAAAGAATAGGAAAATGTGGACAGCCATGATCATCTACGTCCTGAAGGGACATTGACACATAAAAGAAGAATTTCAAAAAGAATCTATAGCTAATCATGGCTAAATTGGGTAGGGATATTAATTGCCTTGACAACACTGAATTTCAGAAATCCAGGCCATCATGTCATGTCTTGTTTAAACATTGTTAGAAATTTCTTTTCATAATAGATTTTGTAAACATGGAGAACAGTGTGTAAGAGGTGAGAGAAAGTGGCCTCACCCACAGATCCAAGTATAGGTAACATGAATATAGGTAAAAAAAATCAAAGAGAGGCTAAATAAGTAGGTAATTTGGCACAGAGAATATTCACCTGAAAAGTGACAAAAATGCCAACTCCACCCCAGGGCAGTATGCCAAATGAAATGCAGTCACACTAACAGCCACAATCCATATTAACTGCTTTGGAACAGAAATGAAGAGTGTAAACGAAAATGGAGGTGGGGGTAATATTTGTCTGTATGAAGATAAAAATAATTTAGAACACACCATTTTTGAAAACATGGCATGCTAATACAAATTAATAAAAAAAAGGAGAGAATCATTAGTACAACTTAAGCACAGTTTTAAACTTGACATTTTTAAATAAAAAAAAAAAGTACAGATAACTCTGTAAAAAGTCAAGGATTAGTTTGACATTGTATTTATATTATCAACAGAGCCCAGCTCCGAAACTGATTAAAAAAAAAAAAAAATTCAATATTTTCCAATTCTGATAAATATCATGGTCTCTGCAAGGTTTAATAAATATTAATCTACAAAATTTATTCCCCCCCCCAAAAAAAAACTTATCTTTTTTTTATGAGTGGACCAGTTAATTTTAAGTAGTGCTGAAAATTCATTAGCAATGCATTTACATTATCCATAAA